AGGAGGTAGGAGTGTGGAATTAACTCGCTATAACTCCCCAGTTTCCACTTTCACACGGGGGAGATGCATTAGAAACGAGCCAGAAAGCCAATTTAGCGCATCGGATCAGACATCTTATGTTCCCTTCCAAAAGAGAAAAAGTAGCGTAGGACAAACATTGAGACAAATAAGCGGGCAAATTACTCTGTAGTAAAGAACCGTTTTACATCTGATACCCTCCTGATCTCACTGCTTACGCATCTGTAGTTTATTGATGATGGAGGGACATGCCGCAACGAAACGTGTTCTGATGCGCTTTTACATCATTCTTGTGTCTCACACAATGAATTGAAAAGGAACTGTATTTCCAAGTGCCTGCATTACTTTATTTTCATGATGGAAGTTAACAGCGACCAGTCCACCTTTGAACATCCCCCTTCCTCCCAAAAAAAACGATTTGATACACTCGTCATTGTGCAGCGGAAAGATAAAAGGTGCACCCTGAAGTAAAGACCGGAAGTATTTATCTACTGCCGGAAGTGCTTAGAGGTCGTGTCTTTAGCACATTCGCGCTTGAAGAAGAACAAACGAACTCAAAGGTATGAAACGGGCCTGACCAGTGCATAGGATTAAATTAGTCATGGAAATCAGCATATATTGGAAGACTGAATAAAAGTCGTTTTTGTCGGACTATGATGCACTCTCATTTTCAAATAGCCACTAGTCCTCGATTGAATGAGGAGATGGACTTCTTACAGTAGTAGCTCTGTCAGCAAAGCGTTTTCTTGTTACGACCTCATAATCAGCGGTATTCTACTCAGAGATTTGAGTGAAGTAAGTGTATCCTCCACCAGACTGACTTCAGATTTAACCGACATTTTCCTTTCTCCTTTTTAGTTTCGGCAGCGGTACTTCTCCTTCAATTGTTATTTTGTACTACATATTTACTACCTTAGCAGATTCCCGTACAAAATCAAATTTCTGTATAAAATCATCGCTATATCAAAAATGACATGGTATATATAAAAGCAGCTGACCGCACAAGATTTTATGCTCATAACACCTGCATAATGTTAGACACTAACCGATCATTTTTAAATGTTGTAGGTTTTACAGATGGTCAGTCGCCTTACAATAAAATTATTGTTTGCAATCCACGAAGTCAGCCCTTTTCCGGAATGCACAAAGCACGTTGTACAGATTCCATTATTACATGTCACTCTTCGTATAAGCTCTCCTGGCGGAAGCGTTCGAAAGTGGTCAAGCGTCTAAGATTGTAAAATTGTCACCTTT